ATACCTCAAAGCCAGGTGACTCAGCCTAGTGCTTGTTTAAGCAGTTTTGATATTCAATTTAATTTTCTCACTGATTTTATGATTTATAAAAAATTTCTTGGAAAATTTGAAAGTTTTCAAAAATTAAAAAATGAGTATCTTGTTATTCCACTATATAGAGATAAACTGCAGTTCAATGTTTGGTGCATTTTCTTCTAGTCTTTTTTTCAATGTATAAATATTAAAATTACTTCATAGTTGAGATACTGCATATATACTGTATTTTGCTTTTTTCATTTTAACGTCGTGAGCAATTTTCCCATGACATTAAAAACTGTCTTTGAAAAATGTGGAAAACATTTGGGGCTGTCAGCATAACTGAAAATGTTTTCTTGGTGTGACCCATGTATCTTTGTAATTGGTTTGATTTAGTGTGCTTTATTTCAATAAAAATTCAGTATTATAATTTACAGATTGGGGTGGGGAGTGGTATCTACTTCAAATTACCGAAATCTCCCTAATAGAATTCCTTTTTAAATGTTTGAACTCCTCTGGTACATCTTAAACAAGACATTGACACTGCAAGTACTTGTATGTCCTGGCACCTCAGAACACAACTTTGTGCAAAAGGAGTGCTGTGCATCTGAATAGTGCAATTCATTTTCAACACAAGAATGCCAGTTTCTTAGGGCCTCCAGTGAGGATATTACCCACTTTGTTTAAGTTGCAATTTCAAATCCCATCACTGGTGGAACAGATCTGCAAAGGTGGACCAACGATGCCTTCTCATCTCCAGGGCTGGCTGCCTTGCCTTCCCTCATGGGGCTTTTAAGCAGTTGGGAAGCAGGTAGACAGTGTAGATGATGTCCTAGGCCATTGGCTGCTGGACTGCGGCAGTGAGATGACTGGGCCGGCATTTGTTCTTTCTCTGCCTGTGTGTGACCTCTAACTATGTGCCTGGAAACTGAATTACATGTAATTAATGCTGCAAACAGGATTTTCTTGTTGCTTAAGCATGAACTTGGTATGACAATAATAGTTATGTGCTACTTATTTATCATGTAACTTGGATTCCTATAACCTGGTCTGTAAATTTCTTTTAGCTCCAGTGGGAGTTTCCTTTTCAAAGTATGATGAAACCATCCTAATCTTTTCCACCCCTGAACTAATTTAAAATGGATACAGAATACAACTGTTGAGTTTATCTTGTGTTAAGCAATTGAGACTTCTCTGTCTAATCATGCTACTTGTTCTTTTTTTGTCAATTGATACTCCCGTAGCCCTTTTGAAAACGTGTTTTTGGAGGAAATTAAGTTGTATGCCCTCAGGACCTACAACTTGGTTTTTTGTTCTTTTTTGTTTTTTGTTTTGTTTGTTTGTTTTTTAGTCCTGAAGCATGTTTAGATTTTTCTATACTTGTATAGGCCTGATTGTTTATGTGGCTTAGCTAAGGTTTCCTAACGCATCTTCTAGTAGCTGTCATTGGTTTGTAAAATAAAATTTGGGCTGTCAAAATACACATTTTTTGGTTGTTAATCTTAATTATTTTTGACCCTTGTGAAGTCTTTTTGGGGAAGATTAGGTAGGCAAACTTTGAAAATATTTTTACTGCAATGAGAGTCAGTCATAGATCATATTGCACATTATAATTATCAAGCTAAACACCCAGGTCATACACCCAGTAGAAAAAGCAGTTTTCCCAGAAGCTGCTGGAGTTCAGATTTACCAAATTGATGTTTAATACATCTTCTTTTTCATGGAGAATGGCAATTGAAACAATAAGGAACATTTGCTTGAAATGCCTAGTCCACTTCTGATACAGTGTTTTGAGCCTTCCATATTTGTTGTTAGATATTAAACATGCTGCCATTGGAGTCCTGTGTTATGTTAACAAGGGCATTGGGGTGGGGTTCGTTGAATTCTTTTTGTCTTTTGAAATGATAAGGGGTATCTTGATTTTAATTATTGAAGTAGGCTGGTTTATTGCAGAATGTGCCTGTATTTTGCCATATGACCTTGGGACCTTTTGCATTATGAAACAAGTATGAAAGGTTATCTTTGAAGAACATGGGCACCTTATAATATGTTACAGGCTGAGACACGAGGATAAAAGAAGGCATAGCTCTCCCCTTAACTTTAGTCTTGCTGTAGAACCTCAAAAAAAGCCAACACGGGATAATTGAGTTTTAAACTCGATGGCAGTGTTGTAAGCGGAGAGAACCACCTGGGTTTATTTCCTGGTATTGGAGAGGTGAATAAACATCAACAGCCGAGCCTTGGATTTCAGTGGATTTCAACGAGGGGGTGTAGGACTTTGAAGTATTACTCTTTAGAATTCAATGAATGTTATGATGTGTCAAGCACTGTGTTAAGGGTCATTATATAGAAATGAAAAGATATTTTCTGTAGGAAGAGATGGTTGGTTATACCATGCTATAGAAAAATAGCTTAAGATGGTGTTTTGTTTTTAAAAATAAGCTTGTGCTGGTTGGGGAAGAGGAAGCAAAGTTCCTTTTTGATGGTGTTGAGTTTGAGATGTCCAATAGGCAGTTAGAAATCTGGGAAGGTCCTTGAGCTCATTAGTCCAGTTTTGGGAAACACCAACGTGTGTGGGTAAGGTGAGAGTTGAGGGTATCACCCAGGGTGACAACAGCCTTTCAGGGGCAGAAGGGAACCCCACAAAGGCGACGTGGAAGGGAGCTGGCAGGCTGGTGAATAGGAAGGAGCAGAGAGTTTGAATTTCAAGGAGGAGGAAAGAAAACAGAGAGGTAGGAGAACCAGGAAAGGAGCCTCAGAGGGGAGGTGTGCTGGGGAGCAGGTGGGCTCACGGCGTGAATGTTGGAAGAGAGAGTTGCAGGCCTCACTATTTCAAAGAGCTGCAAATTGCATGATGTTGGTAGTGCAGATTCGGTCTAAGGGTGAAGAGGGCAGGAAGAGAAACTGTTCAGAGAGATGAGGCCTAAGAGGCAGGCTGGTCCTAGGACCAACTTGAAGCCACCTTTTTGCTAAAATACTCTAGACTTGGAAATCAGAATAACTGAATAGGAATATGGATTACACTTGAGTGGAAGTCTCAGCTCTTGTTTACTGCCTGTTGACCTTGGATGAATTACTTAACCTTTAAACTTGGATTTTCACCTTCAGCGTGGAGATGTTATAGATGTCATAGGAGTAACTGACATAACAGTACCTGATGTAGGAAGTACTCCCACGTTAATGCTTTTATTTTTTAGTAGATGCTAGCCTTTGAAAGGTTTAGAGGCTAAAGAGACACAGTTTGATTTCCTCTGACCACCAGCAGGAAGGGAGGATGCACCTTCTTCATGGTGAGCAGCCAGGGAATTGGTTGGATTAGTGCAGAAAGGAATAGGAGCCACCTAGAGTGTGGAGTTGAGAGCGCCTCAGAAGGGAGATGTGGCCTGGAGGACATGGCCAGCACGTGGGACGATGGTGGAGGCCATGCATTTGAGAACGTTCACAGCATGTATTTGGTGGAGGGAGAAAAATGTCAAGGGGAATTTAATAGATTTCATGTGATAGGAGGCAGAGAATGTTTTTTCAACTTAAAGTTCAAATGTAAACTACATATTTACAGAGTTCATGATTAGAAAGAATGGGCCCCTGTCAAATGAAACCTCTAAGCTTACTTGAAGATTTAAGTTCTAGTCTTTGAAAATTAATCGATTATACTAAACTGTGTTATAAATTTAGTCAAGCAATAACGAATCTCTACGTGAGGCAAGAATAGTGGAAGGGGAAATTCCTAAGGCCTAAGATCACTGCCAATGACGGTAGGTTTTTAAAAATGCAACACTATGGTTTATGTTTCCTGGCCTGACTTATACCTTTCACAGGTTTATCTTGAACATTTAGGGGTGGAATGTAAGTTTGGCTCTTTAACCGTGTAACAGTTTAAGGAAAGGAATGAATGAGTGTCCATGAGTGCTAGGTATATTCTGGATTCAATAACTTTTTTAAAAAATTTGAGACAGAGTTTTGCTCTTGTCACGCAGGCTGGAGTGCAGTGGCATGGTCTCAGCTCATTGCAACCTCCTCTTCCTGGCTTCAAGCAATTCAGCCTCAGCTTCCCGAGTAATTGGGATTACAGGCACCTGCCACCACACCCAGCTAATTTTTGTATTTTTTTTTTAGTAAATACGGGGTTTTACCATGTTGGCCAGGCTGTTCACAAACTCCTAACCTCAAGTGATCTGCCTGCCTTGGCCTCCCAAAGTACTGGGATTACAGGCATAAGCCACTGTGCCCAGCCCTGGATTCAATAACTCTTAATGTTGAAAACAAAGCAGCGTGATTCTTTACAACCCCCTGTCCTCCCCACTTCTCTAAAGGATTAGAGAGGATCATCATTGAGGCTGTCCTAAAGGATATCTACATTCTAGACTTGAGGGGATCACGTAGCCCAGTTTGTCCAGGGCAGACTGACTTTGTACCTGATTTTCCAGTAGACATTTTAACAGTGACTCTTTTTGGGCTCCGTAATCATACTGTTTTGGATGATAAATTACATGGTCGCCTTATCTAAAGGGGATGTTGGAATAAGCCCACCTAGGCCTGGAAGTGATTTCTTGCTCTCTTGAATACATCACAGACATACACACTCATCAGAGGGGTCTGTTGGAATGGTAGCTGTGGGTAACCAAAAATGTCTTGTTTTAAAGCAAACGCCTCCTGTCCTTTCTGAAAATTGTGTGTAGCACCTACCTAATAGATGGGAGATTTCGTGACCTATTTGTACTCCTAGCACCATGGCTGACACATAGTAACTTGTATTAATTGGTAGTTACCAATATTGCAGATATTGGTACTATTACCAATAAAACATATCTCAAGGCCAGATGGTGTGTTTTTCTAGAATAAAACTTAATTGCTTGCTAGTAACCCTTTATAAAAGAAAATAGGCAGACGTGCTTTGACATTGTGACAACATGGAAAGTAAGTGGGTTGCGTTCGAAAGGGTTAAATAATTGAGCAACTCTTAAAACCTTTTTTCTTCTTCCTAGGTCTTAGTGGTGCAATGGCTAGTATAAGCGTGCGTTCGAGTACCCCAGGCTCTCCTACACATGTAAGCAGTGGATCGAATGCTAGTCGAAGGAGAAATGGACTCCATGATGTCGATTTGAACACTTTCATATCAGAAGAAATGGCACTCCACTTGGACAATGGTGGAACTAGAAAGCGTACCTCAGCCCAGTGTGGCGATGTCATTACAGACTCACCAACCCATAAACGCAACAGAATGATCTAAACTGCAAACATTTTCACACCCACCATGCTGCTTGAAAGCCACTTGATCCTCAACATATACTATAATTGCAAAGGAAACATGAGGCCATCTTCCCTTGTTCACTGTTTAAGACAAGTGAATTCTATAGTGGTTGCCATAAAAGGAAGTTGTAGGTATTTACAGTAGATGCCTCTTGTAACTATGGCTTTCTTAAAACTATAATCCTAGCAGAGGACATCAGATATTGTGTAGTCGTTAGCAAGATCATCATAGGCAAACATATATCCGTTCCAAGGCTAAAAGTGACCTTAACTGTATTTATTCTCAAAGGGAAAGGAGATATCAGATGTTTATTTGGTTATAGAAGGCTTTTTTTTTTTTTTTTTTTTTTTTTTTTTTTTTTTTTTTTTTTTTTTTTTTTTTTTTTTTTTTGGTCCATTTCCTGCTGTGTTGAGTATTTTGCCTCAACAGTATTGCCAGGTTCCTAAAATTGTCTAAAAACATGATTAGGCTTCCATTTTTGCAGCTGCACTGTAACATGCACCTGGTTTCTAAATAGTAACAGTGTGCAACTCTAATTATTGGACTGTGCCCTGTTTTTAGTTTTCAAAGCAGTTTCTAATTCTGGTGATTGTGTGATGTAAAGAGGTGCTATGATGGTCATGCAATTAATACTTAATATTGAATCAATGCACAGAGCTTTATTGGATTCACTTTGTGTGTGTTAGTGCTCTAAAGTAGCAATATTATTATTAAACTGCCCCAGATTAACCCTGTAGGCCTAAAGTACTCAGTTTTAAGACAAACACTACTTCCTGTATGGGGTACTTGACTTATGGTAAATGTAAACATGTAGACTGCATTTGAGGTGACCTAAAGTAGAGACGTTATGAACTTTGAGAATGGGCTTCCTTTTTGGTTCAGTATTAGTGAGAGGGTGAGGGAGATGGATAGTGGGGTAGATTTTCTAGTCTATCATTTTACATTTTTCATGGAGGCCCTGCTTAGTGCAGTTTCCATTGGAGTGGGCAGATGATGATAAAGCTCTCTTTTATCTACTAATAATGTGATTGCAACTTAAAATAGCAAAACCCAAGTCTCCCTATCCCTCCAATCCCTCTCCTAAAAAGTTCAGTTTGGAATCTCATTCTGGAAAAGATGGAATCGCATGGAGATTCTTAAGCTGTTAGGTAGACCTAAATAAAAGTTCTCAATAGATTCCTCTTTTGAGTAAATATAAGACCTCTTGTAGCTACAATGTTTTAGAGCATGTTTCATCTTCATTTTTAATATCCTGAACTGAATGATAGTGTTTTTTTTAGATGAAGAACTGATGTCAGCCTGCCAGGTACTGTAATTTATTCTATCATATTATTATATTATATATCAAGTAGGACAGTGACAATGTTTCCTTGCAAACTTGTAGTCCAGTATCAGTTACTTCCTATTTTTAATCCTTAAAAGACCATTGCAAATCAGTGTAAGGGTTTTTCCAGTAATTACTCACAGCACTTTTGTTAAAGTTTGCAATTTCTTCAGCCATTTAATAATATCTTTCTGTGAAGAAACTCTGCTAAGTTAACCATAAATACTCATTCATTGACTGGGTGGGATGTGAATGGAATGTTAGAAATGTGTGAACTGAAGTTCTGTATTCATTGTAGATGTAGCCCTTATTTAAAAAAGTGAATTCCATACTAAAACTAGGAATGAAAGTGAGATATTTCTAAATTTTTGCAAAAGTGGATCATTTTTGTTTGACTATAATAGCAGGAAGAATTATAGCAACCTGTCATTTTACCTGAAACAGACAAGCCTATGTGTTATGAATACTTTCAAGCTTCCCTTTGGAATATACAAGACATGCATTTGGAGTTACCTTTGTTTTTCTATCGTTGTAAATTTAGATTCTGGAATTGGGGTTTGGTGGTACGATGTGTTGCTCACAAGTGGCCAGACTCCTATTCCTAAAAGGATTTTGAGATCGAGGAACACATATTTAATTCCCCTTTATGCCTTGGTTCTTGTTCCTCTTTCTAAGTTGGATAACAATTTTTTTGTTATTTTGTTTAAGTTGGTGCTCTGAAGCTTAACTCTCAGTACCCTTTACTCTGAATTGTCAAATTTGGGTAAAACATGTGCCATTTTCTTTGGTAAGAGAAAGCAGGTCTTAATGTCTGCCAGAACACAATTTATATGCCTTAATGGCTTCATTAAACTTTTACAAAACTTTAGCATTTGTTCCTTTTTTCCATTGCATTTACTCTCAAATGCACCTGATGCATTTGCCACCCAGTTGCAACTTTTCCCTTCTCTGTCCCATTGCTCTCTTCTGTTCTCCCACGCACAGAATAAACAAGCTCACTTGTAGAAGGGTAATGATTTCTCTTAGGAAAACTTAACTTCTGACAGCTAGGTTTTTGAAGTGTTTGCTTGGGCTAGTTTAGATGCTAAAGAAAGAATGGAAGATTGCATACCTGTGTGGTACTTTAAGAACAATTTGACATTTTCAGTTTCTTGAACAGTTCAGGCTGGATTTAAAGACTAAATACTGTAGTTTGGGGGAACAGAACCTCTCTTCGTCTTAAGCCAGATTCTCTGATTCTTTTAGACGTTCATAGTTCATTAGTTCTGCTCCTGTTGCCCTTACTTGGCATGGGTGGGTTGAGGTTCATCCTTAGACTGCAGCGTTCTGAGCATGGCTGAAGTATTACAATGTTTAATATTTTATAGAGCAAACCTACTGGAAAGCATTTGGCTGAATCTAAAGACCTGCAGTCAAATTCTTCAATGTGGTTTACCCAACTGGAGTAGTGATACACACCTTAATCATAAAATGAATAAAAACAAAAAAACCATGGGGCTTGTCTGCAGTTTTGTTTTGGTCATCACATTTGAATAACTTTTTGATGCAATCAAATGAAGTTTTGGCTTTTAAAAAAGAATTAGCTTCCTAAGTGTTTTTTTTCTAAGGGCTACTGGAACTAATTAAACTTGAATAATTGTGGCTTTGGGCCTGAAGATTGCCATTCAGCAGTGGAAACTGGGCTAACTTCCTTTATAGTGAGAGGGACGGCCAACATCAACCCAGAGGGCTAGTCAACCTCAGAGGCCAGTGCAAGACGCCAAGAGATGATTTTGAAATGGGGCCATTTCAGAAAATTATGAACAGAATGATTAAATTTTTGGCCTGGCTACTACCTCTAGTGGTGACTATTTTAGCCGATTAATCTCATTGCGTTTTACTTCACATAGTATGTTATAACCTGGCACTTCATTCATTAGATTGATGACTGAGGTATCTAGTTATGTTGAGTGTGGGAATCTTCAGAGATACATTCTGGAGTTTTGGAATGAAGTGACTATAAAGGTTCTTCCATAGGAACCCCTTGTGTAAAGTACCTGCTTACCCCTTCTTGAAAGCTGTCAGCTTTGATAGTTAAGATGACCTTACCCCATATGGCCAGCTTCTAGCCTCCCTGTGGAATATCTGAGGTGTGTGATGTTTTAGTGAGGACAGTATTTAAGAGAGGAGCAGGCCTGAGCACCCAGGGTGGCTGTCAGACCATGTGTTGTACCTGTTGGATTTGACGGGCGAGATCCAGGGTTTTACTTCCTGCAGGCTCTTTGTGAAGTTCAGTAGACAGTAGCCTGTGATGTGGCAAGTCAAGTTTTCAATGGCCCTTCATTTTCTTTGTACTGATTTAGTACTTTAAAAAAGAATTAAAACAGCAGAAATCAAGCCATACAACAGTTTATACAGGTCTTTTTTTTTTTTTTAAATGGAGTTTCGCTCTTGTTGCCCAAGCTGGAGTGCAATGGCACGATCTCAGCTTGCTGCAGCCTCTACTTCCGGGTTCAAGTGATTCTCCTGCCTCAAGCCTCATGAGTAGCTGGGATTACAGGTGCATTCCACCACGCTGGCTAATTTTTTTTGTATTTTTAGTAGAGAAATGGGCTTCTACCATGTTGGCCTGGCTGTTCTCAAACTTCTGACCTCAGGTTATCTGCCCACCTCGGCCTCCCAAAGTGCTAGGATTATAGGCCTGAGCTACCATGCCCAGCCTATACAGGTCTTTTACACATTAGAATTAATATGGTGACATCTTTTTGTTGTTAACACGAGTTTCACTCTTGCTTAGGCTGGAGTGCAATGGCACGATCTTGGCTCACTGCAACCTCTGCCTCCCAGATTCAAGCAATTCTTATGCCTTATAAGCACCCACCATTAAGCCCGGCTAATTTTTGTATTTTTGTTAGATACAGGGTTTCAAATATGGCGAAATCTTATGACAGAATAGTATTTCCTTGTACAGATGAGCCTTGATACAGTTTCCAGGGTTTTTTTTATTATTAGTAATGCCTCAGTGATTTTTGTTTGTTTGTTTGAGACGGGATCTCTTGCCCAGGCTGGAGTGCTGTGGTGCAAACCTGGCTCACTGCAACCTCCGCTACCCAGGTTCAAGCGATTCTTCTTCCTGGAACTACACATGTGCGCCACTACATCTGACTAATTTATTTATTTTTTTTATTTTTAGTAGAGACAGAGTTTCACCTTGTTGGCCAGGCTGGTCTCGAATTCCTGACCTTAAGTGATCCACCTGTCTTGGCCTCCCCAAGTGCTGGTATTACAGGCATGAGACATTGTGCCCGGTCTTTTTTTTTTTTCCTTCTCTAGATGGAGTCTTGCTCTGTCATCCAGACTGTAGTGCAGTGGCATGATGTCGGCTCACTGCAACCTCCGCCTCCCAGGTTCAAGCAGTTCTCCTGCCCCAGCTTCCCCAGTAGCTGGGACTACAGGCACGTACCACCATGCCTGGCTAATTTTTGTACTTTAGTAGAGGTGGGGTTTCACCATGTTGCCCAGGCTAGTCTTGAACACCTTACCTTGTGATCCACCCACTACGGCCTCCCAAAGTGCTAGGATTGCAGGTGTGAGCCACTGCACGCAGCCTAATATTTAAGTGTCTCTGTGACAAAATTTTGCAGATGAACTAGCTGGGTCAAAGGAATTCCTCTATAAAATACTGATGGGTTCTGCCATCAGAAAGTAAGAGTACCTGTCCCCTTGCATTTTAGCCAGTGTTGTGTTATCTATACTTCCTTTGGCAGAAGTGACCTTTCAGTTTTAATATGCTTTTTGCCCACTCATATGAAGGACGACCTTTTGCTTGAT